ACACATCGGCTCTGTTGATCGGGAAGTGAGCGAACACATACCATCGCTTGCTCACTTTCCGATCATCTCATTTCAGTGAGCTGTCACTGTTAGTCAAGGCTCCCTGCAGGAATTCCCCTCCTCCCCTCTCTGATCCTCCAGCGCTTACTGGAGGAACGGACCTGGAGGGGGCAGGCAGAGCTCACGGTCAATCAGCCAGCTGGGTAGATCTTGACAGTATTGTCAGGATCCGTCCCAGCTGCGGTGCTCTCAGTATATAGCGGGCAATAGCTGGCAATATACTAAGCTTTGGGTCACGGGAGGACATCACCAAAGTTACAACCGCTGCTTGTATCTGACACTTCCATGTATGTCAGATATGGTGTTAGATATGGTGTACCCTGATGCATGCTATGGTTCCATCTTCTGGCCCCCACATTACTACAAAAAGCTCAGTGTGTGTGAACACTACACAACACAGGACAGTGTGAAAGCAAAACAAAGCCAAAGCAATAAAGCGCCACGGGCAATCACTCCTCAATAGGATATAATCTTGGGCATGCTGCAGGATGCTGCCCCAAAACAGCCGGGGGAGCTGTGAAATCTGGAAAGTAAGCACAAAGGAACCGTTCAGCTGATGTCCACTTGCCTGCCATCGATCTTTCACTCCATAGCTTGTATTCATTCATGTTTGTGAGTACCTTTTTTTTTGTTATGATCATTGAAATAAAATAAATCTGCACCAGGAAAAGCGCCCTCCTTTGTGCTTAGTGTGAAAGCAAAGACTGGGAATGATGGCAGCTGGACAGGTAGGCAGTACTATTCTTCTTCTAAAGGTGGCACTATTTCAGGTTTTCAGAACAGGTCTCAATGAGCACTAAAGGTGAAAGGTTAAAATAAAAAAAATAAAAATAAAAAGTTTGGCCCAGGGAGACCAAATTCAATTAAACTTTATCTTCCTGTACGGCGGTAAGCTTTTAAAGAACATTGTTTGTGTGGCCTGGTTATTAAAGTGTATGTATAGCCCAAACTTTTCTACATTTGAGATAGAATAGGGAAGGGTTAAAACCCCTGCTAGCTTATTTTAGGAAAACGTGCCTTCATTTGTCACAGAGACACAACAGGAAGTGGGAGGAAATGTCCCCACTTAAGCAACACCACACATGACAATTTGTGATGAGCCTGGGCTTTAGCCAAGACTGCTCAAAACTGTGAACAATACACCTCCGTCCTAGCCCAAACAGCTGTACGTCACAAATACCCCCTGCCGTAACTTCTGCCACTGATTGGGATGGGGGGGGGGGGGGGGGGGGAAGTGGTTTGCGGTCTCAGCGGG